ACACTTTCCTGTCCCTTTGCCGCAGCCTCCCCCGCCTGGTCCGCCCGCCGCCGCCTCTCCGCCTCCGCCTCTGCAGCCGCTAGCGCCGGCAGGATGCCACTCCTCGAGCTGCTTCCTCCCCGTTCCTCGCTCCGTTCGGCAGCAGGAAGCGGTCCTCATCTTAAATAGTTCCCTCTGGAACTCACTTATTCTGCCAAGAGGTTCCGGCGCGGCTCCGGAAGTAGCCGCTCTCCTTGCATCCAGTTCTTTCTATCCCAAAGATGACTACTTTGCGAGTTCACAGCCGAACTGGCAGTATTTGAATACTGAAGCCTCCTTTAAAAAAATAAAAATAAAAATCTTTATTGTTGAAGGTATTACATATGGCTCCCTTTCCCCCCAATAGTCTCCTTTCAGCCCGCCCCCATTCCCCCTCACCCCTTCGCCCTAGGCCTTCACCACCCTATAGTCTGTGTCCTCGGGTTATGCATAAATGCATAAAGGTCTTTGGCTGAAGCCCCCACATCGCTCCCTTGTTTTCCCCAGCTGAAGGCAATAGGAAGACGAGCCTAGTCAGAGAAAGCTAGGAATTTTGATTTATTTGTAGCAGGTGAGTCTCCTGTAGGCACATAGATGGACGCATGCTCGCATGGGGTCGACATATATCTATTAGGCCCATACTATGTGCAAACTGCTGAGGACGCACAGCCAAATCAGAAGTGGACTCCACCGCGGAGATTTTCCACACTTTAACTTTCAAAATACCAGAGTTTTATCCAGGATTTTAAGGCTATGTGTCAACTTGCCCTTTCACTTAATTAACCACCAGACACTAGCAGAACACTTCTGGGGGTGGGGGGAACTTTCAGATTTGCTATTTGCCTGATTTTTCCACAGCACATAGCCACGTGAGTTTTACTATATATTTAGAAAAAAAATAAGTGGTAGGGTAGGGGGGATACAATTTCAGTAATATCAGTGAAACACTTGGTGGTTTCCTAATAAATATACAGTTAAGCACAAATTAACCAGATTTTCCTTTAACAGTTCTTCACGGGGGATATTCAAAGGTTTGTCCACTTGCTTCTGAAAGAGAAAGAATAACTTTTGCTAGTTAGCTTGTAGTGGAGAATGCATGGCCTTTAGGTCTAGACACCCATAGGTTTAAATCCTAGTCTTGTGACTGACTAGCTTTGTGATTTTGGTCCGATTTCTTGGTGCTCTGCCCTCAGCAAACTGTATATTCTGATGGGAGGAGACATTCTAGTGCAGTGGTTCTCAACCTTGGCTGCACATTAGAATCACCTGGGAATCTTTTTAAAATCCTGATTTCTGGGCCTCATCCTCTGGAAATTCTGTTTCTTTGTTACTAATGTTGTGGCCTCACCCCATAACAAAGAAACAGAATTTCCGGAGGATGAGGCCCAGAAATCAGGATTTTAAAAAGATTCCCAGGTGATTCTAATGTGCAGCCAAGGTTGAGAGCCACTGTTCTAGTGGGTGCAATGTATCAGGCAAAGAGATATATAGAAGAAATAGGGGTGGCCTGTTGCTAAGCTCACGTGATGCTGTTTAATTAAATAGATTGATAAATTGGCTATTAAATGCTAAGCAGCCCAGACTAGTTTGGCTCAGTGGATAGAGCAGGGGCCTGTGGACTGAAGGGTCTGGAGTTTGATTCTGGTCAAGGGCATGTACCTTGGTTGCAGGCACATCCCCAGTAGGGGGTGTGCAGGAGTCAGCTGATCGATGTTTCTCTCTCATGGATGTTTCTAACTCTCTAAACCTCTCCTCTCTGTAAAAAAATCAATAAACAATATATTAAAAAACAAACGCTAAGCAGGAAAGCCGAAGGGTTTCCTAGGTAACAAATACAGAGGCTCTCCTCTTCTGTAAGCTAAGGGCCAGGTCCAGGACTTAATCATGAGAGTAGCAGAGCCTCAAAGAAGATTAAGCTCTCAATATTGGCAAGTCTGCTATGGCCAGGACAGGGTACTAGTTGGGAAAAAGTGGAACCTTAACAATGGGATGGAGACATCTGGCGGAGTACACACAGGACTGACTTCTGAAGGTGCTGGAACAAGGGGACAGAATACAAAGTTGAACAGGGGAGACTTAATTCGAAAGCACTCTCCTGGGATAGGGGATCTAAGCACCATGGCAAAGATCTCAGGAGATAGTACAAACATGACGCTAGAATGGCTTCCTAAGCATGGAGAGTGACGGCCCATACTAAATGAGGTCACGATGCCAGGATTACCATGCAAGGCAGTGGAACAAGGGATTAAAACGTTAAAAAAAAAAAGTGAGCAAGCTAGAGTGGATATACAATGCAAGCCTGGAAAATCCAGAAGGCAGTTAGAATCCATGCGAGGGACCAGAGGGCACATTCTTTTGATATCCCATCCCATTGTCCACCCCACCCCCCTTTTAGAAATCCTCTGTTTTGGATCTTAAATAACTGAATCAAGAGAGAGAAAGTTTCCAAGTTCCTTCCACTCCTGCCATAGTTGGCACTTGGGAGGTCTCAGGAAATGCCGCTTGGTGACCATGACCATAGCCATAGGTGAAAGATCTCCCATAGACTAGAAAATTAAGCTGCCCATTATAATTACTGTCTTTCGTCGTTTTTAGATGGCATCTTCATATTTCTGGAAAATTCTTCCATTTAAAGGCCAAAGATAAGCTACCAATGGGCACACCTTACTTTTAAATTTTATTTTTTTGTTTTTGTAAAACAAATATAGACCGTATTACAGAAAACTTACAAAATAAAGAAAAACCCCCGCACACCGAACACAGAGATGTTAATCATTAAGATTGCGTCTTTCCCGCATATCCTCGCACCTGGCATTTTGACCCGTGTGTACAGCGTTAGCGTCGGGGTGAGTCGTCGCCATGGTAACCGCGGAAGCCGGGGATCCCGGGAGCTGAGAGTGCTGGGTCCGGGCGGCGCCGAAGGCCCAGGTGGGCGTGTGGGGAATGGGTAGCTCCCAGCCGGGCAGCTCGGGCGGGTGGGGTGGGCGGGGAAGGAACTTTGCGGAGCGGGTCCAGCCTCGGGGATCTGGGAGGTGCCTGCGGGGTTCAGGCCGAAAGGCGAACTCTGGTGCCCCCTCTGCCACTCTTGGCAGGGCTGCCGCTCCCCATCCTCTTCCTCAGGCCTCCCCTTTGCTTAGCCCTGGGGACCTTCCTGAGCCGGGACAAGGGACTACATTGTAAAAAATCCAGTTGGTTTAAAAGACCCTTGAGCTCTATTCCTCCACTAGGACCTCAGGCCGCCTTGACTGCCTCCTCGCTGTTTGTGTATGCTCCTGTGACCCGGTTGTCCTTTTCTCCTCCTTTTAAGACGCCTACTCTTCTAACCTGAAGGGTCACCTCTCCTGGAAAGCCTTTCCCGGACCTGCCAACTCTGAGTCTACTTTAGATATCCATTCTCTACTCTCAAACACGCTTTGCTTATCTCCATTCTGTCCCATATCTCGGTCATTGCTGATTTACCGAGTCTTCCCCACTGGACGGTAAAGGCCCATGGGGCAAGGACCATGACCTATGGGTTTCCTATTGTTAGTGCCTTAGCAGCCTCAAAAGAGTTCACACTCGAGAGTTCAAAGGAAAAGTCGGGCTGTTCTCCACACTCAGTCAGCAAGGCAGAGCAGTGCTGTTCTCATTTCCCAGTGGCGTGTTGCCTGAGGCCACAGTTACCTCAAGGTTCCACAGGGGCAGATCCCCTTCCACCTTCATTCAGTGGTTGTTGGTGAGTTTAAGTTCCTCTGGGCTGTTAGACTGAGGGCCTCGGTTCCTTACTGGCTCTTGGCTAGAGATTGCCCATGTCTCTCTTTCTTAAAAAAAAAAAAAATTTTTTTTTAATTGATTTTTTACAGAGAGGAAGGGAGAGGGATAGTTAGAAACATTGATGAGAGAGAAACATCAATCAGCTGCCTCCTGCACACCCCCCTGCTGGGGATGTACCCGAAACCAAAGAACATGCCCTTGTCTGTTGTAAGTGAATTATGGAAGTGACATCCCATCACATTAGAATAAAATCACTATATCCTGCCTTCTTCACAAGGAGAGAATTACACAAAGGTGTGAATACCAGGGTGTGGGGTGAGGGGCTTTGGGAGCCATGTCAGAGCTGCCTCGCCCATGGAGCATCACTGTAATTTAATCACTCTAGCTACGATATACTGTCTTGTGCAACTATGTCACAGTTTATGCTCCTGCTAATGGGCACTGTTTTCCCCCACCCAGGCTTTTTGCTCTGTGAACAGTGATGCTACAAGCATTCTCACACACCTGCAGGGACCATGCCCCTCTTCTTTGTATCATTCCCAATTTAATATGTATTATGCCAGAGTGAGCACTGTGACGACTTCCATCTGGAATTAATCCTGTCCCTTGTAAATTTCCATAGCACTTCCTCTCATGTGATACTTATCATCTATCACCTTTTATTACACTTATTTTGCACAGGTCGCCTTTTTCCCTTAAAAAAACGAAGTTGTTTAGGGCAGGAAATAAAGTTGATTCTTCTTCATAATTTACATAATACCTACACAGCACTTAGGATATTGGTAAGCTTTCCGTAACCATTACTGAGAGACTGAATTCTGTCTAAACATCAGTGCCTAATTTTTTAAGATCTTAATAATCTGACTCCAATGATGTAACAATTTTTCACTTCTCCCCAGTATGACCCATGGTTAGGCAAGTGGGTTACTCTAACATCCTCTTTCAATCTTTCCTCAATGAATCTAGCCCGCATTGCTCTCTACTGTTCCTATTGAATTTACTATGTAGAGCACATGTTCAGCATTTTAGAATGAATTCAGGCAGTGCATCGACTGTATTGACTTCTGGTAGGTGCACAATAAACTTTGTTAGTTGAATGGATGAAATATTTTATAATTGCTTTTAAGCCAGTTAAGAATTTTCATCCCATCTATATTGTCAGTGGACTGACTGAATCAATCAATAAATAAATACCAATTTGTCTGAGTAGATTTTATTACTCTTTTTTTTCTCAGGTATTTTTGGAGTTAATGGATCTAGAAGAACCCCAAGACTCAGAGAGTTCAGAAAAATCAGAACCTGTCTCACAGCAAGAAGAAGTTGAAGAAGGAGAAGAAGAAGAGGAGGAGGAGGAAGAAGAGGAAGAGGAGGAGGAGGAGGAAGAGGAGGAGGAAAAGACAGGCCTTTTTAATCCTCTCTTACAACCTGTTCTCACAGGGGATGTAGAAGGTTTGCAGAAGATTTTTGAGGATCCAGAGAACCCTCTCTATGACCAGGCTATACAGCTCCTCTTGGAAAAAGACATTGTTGGAAGAAATTTGTTGTATGCAGCTTGCATGGCTGGGCAGAGTGAAGTGATTAGAGTTTTGGCAAAATATGGCGCGGATCTGAATGACAACACAGCCAGAGGTATTTTCCCTTTTCTCTCACCAGTATTACTTATGACTACCTAAAGGTGGATAAATAGGATGTGCCTGCTTTATATTTTGCATATATAATGTATACACACATAGATAAGAATGTACATGTGTGTATACGCGCTGATACCGTACAGCACAGTAGTTAAGAACACAGACTTCGCTATTTGCTGTGTGACTTGGGCAAGTTACCCAATCATTTTGTGTCTCTCTTTTTTCATCTGCAAAATGGGGATAATATTGTATTTTCCTCATAGGGTGTAACAATCAAATAAGATAATTATAAATATCACAGTCCTTGGTACATAGTAAGTTGTAAACAGTAACTGCTCAATAATATTACTGCAATGACGATCTTGAAGAGTGTAGTCCATTTGGCCTGACCGGCTTCATGCTGTTTGTCAGGTTATACACCCTTACACTGTGCTGCCGCCTGGGGTCGTCTGGAAACATTGAAAGTGCTTGTGGTGGAACTGGATGTTGACATAGAAGCTCTGAACTTCCGGCAAGAGCTAGCTCGAGATGTTGCTGCTCGGTATTCCCAGACCGAGTGCGTTGAATTCCTGGACTGGGCAGGTAAGGACAGCCACAAGGTATCAGTAAGCTGACTGGTTCATTTGTATGTATGCTGTGCTTCCATCAAAGGTCAAAAAGCCATACTAATATTTTGTATATGTCATTTCCACAGCCCTGTAGAATATGACTTAGAGATTTGCATGCATACAAACATCGGTTAAAAAATTAGTAAATATCAAGTTCAAGGCATTCATTTTATGTAGTAATTTGCACTCATGCTTTTAGCAAGCATTTAATCAATGCTCACTGAGCATTGTTGTAGGTACAACTGGTTGTTCCTGCCCTCTGGACATTTGTTGGGGCGTGGGGTGATAAACGGTAGGTACATGTCAGTAATAAGATCAGCGAGACTATGATGAAGGGTTAGAATCAGCAGAGCAGATCATCATACCTGCTTTTGAAGTGGACAGAGGTCTTGAAGTCAGAGCATGTTGGAGTTGAGCTGGGCCTTGAAGAATGGGTGGGATTTGAAAATATAATAGAAGGAAACGGGCGTGAGCTAACTCTAAGAGCTGGGAGTGAAAGTGGCCTGTTTGAAGGACAGGGACAAGATGGCTTTACTGGAAGGCAAGTCCTAGTTTGCACAGGTAAGCTGCAGAGTAATAAAAGCATAAGTACATGGGCTCTTGCTTCAGACTGCTTGAGTTTACATAGGGGTATCTCCACTTGAAACCTATGTGACCTTGGAACCCGCCCCCCCGCCTTCAAAAACAAACAAACACAACAACACTCCACCCATTTTTTGAAGAATGACCCATAGTACTTAAGAAACACAATCCAGGGACAGACTGTGCTGTTACTTTTCTGAAAAGAAACAGTTTGAGGCTTATGGGTGCGGAGTTTTATTGTTTTCCTGTCCCTAATATCCATCTGTTTTGTTTGGGTCCTTACATTCTCAGGGGAATGATACCTAACATTTCCTAGTGATGAAGATAAAAAAGGTGCTAATACTATCAACTCTTATTCTGTTTCCAGACCAGTGATAGAATTGTAAGGATTGTGGCTTCAAGTGCACGTAGCTCTGGAATGTCAGAAACACAAACTATTCAACATTTCATGTTTGTTTAATTCAGACTTCCAAGTGTATAGGCCACTTCCACTCCCTGTTCTAGCGATTAGAGTAGGAGGCATCTGGAGAGGTTTAAGGGGTTGAGGACTCCCTACCCCAAAGAGTCCTCTCCATACTGCTAAAATTCCACTGTTAGAAATTTCTTTGGGTTTTCAAGGTTTGGACACTTTTAAGTGTTCAAGAGTCCTCCATTAAAAGAAAAATATATCAGCTTTCTCTGAGTGGGAATTAATTGATAGTTCAGAACTCCAAAGGCATGGAACAAACATCTGTGGAAATGTGGGTAGGGTCGTGCTAAGGAAGCATGGAAAGGAGGAGGAGAGTCTGGAAAGTAGAACCATAAATAAACTTTAAAAGGTATTTTTATTGATTTCAGAGAGGAAGGGAGAGGGAGAGAGAGATAAAAACATTAATGATGAGAGAGAGACATTGATCAGATGCTTCTTGCATGCACCACACTGGGGTTGGAGTCTGCAACCTAGGCATGTGCTCTGACCGGGAATTGAACAGTTATCTCCTGATTCACAGGTAAAGGCTCAACTACTGAGCCATGCCGCTGGGCTATAAATTAACTTTTAATCCACAATAACCTAAGATGGACACTATTGCTTTCTATTACTTTGTAAAGACTATTTCTATTTCAAGGATTATTTTTTTCTAAATATATATTTTATTGATTTCAGAGAGGAAGGGAGAGGGTGAGAGAGCTAGAAACATCATTGATGAGAGAGAATCATTGATTGGCTGCCTTCTGCATGCCCCCTACTGAGGATTGAGCCTATAACCTGGGCATGTGCCCTTGACTGGAATTGAACCCGGGACCCTTCAGTCCCCAGGCCGACGCTCTATCCACTGAGCCAAATCAGCTAGGGCCAAGAATTGTTTTTTAAATGTTATTGTAGACAATATTACAGGTGTCCCCCCCTACTCCCCTCTCCTTAAGTCCCCTCTACCCAGCCTTAGATCTTGCATATATTTCTGGGATTTTTCATGTTTTTAATCAAACTTTCTATCCTAGTCTCAGATCAGTCTCCCAGTATTTGTTGGAAGATATGGTAACCATATTGTTAAAAAATTGAGATAGCCGAGCAACAAAACTCAGAAATTTTAAAAAAGTGTTGATACTCAATTCATTTATTATACTAAAAATGGAAAAAATAATATTAAAAAAAGTAATCTGTTACTTGATACTTGCGTACTATTCTAGCAAAGGGCATCTGAGATGAGAAATTAAGTTTTCTTAATTAAGTGGCCATAACATTTGCTCAGGAAAGCAAGAAAAGTCACAAATATTATTTAAATTGGAGATTTATTAAAACACTAAAGATTCTAATTTAAAGCTCGATTAATGATTTGTAATGTGATGCATTAAAAAGAACAAAATACTTAAATCTGCAGTAGTGACTGTGGGCCATCTTTTCCCCGGTACTTTAGAAAGTACGGATGCCTTTTCAGCTGAATAGAAATATCTTTAACTTGGACTTTGCAAAATTTCAGTAAAGAATTGGCAAAAAAAATGAGAAAGGCTCACAGGGAACAATTTTGAACCTTATTCGCGTTCTCTTCTAGGCGCTTTGCGTGGTCTCCATTTTGGACAGAACCACATTCACACGTTTGTGGTGTTCTCTGGTTCCTCCTCGGTTCTTGTACTTGAGCTTTCCATGCTTGAATTTCTTAGACGAAGGACGCTGGGCCTTCCGGTCCAGGTACTCACTCATCATGGATGTTGTGGCCAACAGTTTGAAGAGTAGTTTGTCTATGTCATTGATGGACTGGCTTTCCGGTTCATTACCGACTGTGTCTATGGAGGCTTGTTTTTTCAGCTAACGGGGGGGAAAAGCGAATGAAATTATAGGTTGTTTTCTTGCTATAGTTCAAATTAAATTTTCTGGATGGCTGTACTGAAACACCACACCTTACTGATTTATATGAAAGAAAGGTCATTACAGAAAACAGGTCCGAGGGCAGAAGAAATGCTCTTTTGTGCATGCCCCTGTGAAAGGTGACAATAGTCATTATCATCATCAACAAACATTTAAAAAGTGCTTTCTATGGTTAGAGCATTCTGCTGGGAGAAGCTATTTGAATATTAGCAAAATATTTCCCTTTACTAAACAGCTTCAAAGTATAATGCAATGACATCAGGGTCATTTTATAGCAATATGTTTATTGTAAAAGTCAATGAGCTTTTATGATTGCCTCAAAATATGGAGTCATTGGCAAAGTGGGAAATTAGTTAAAGAGTGCCATTTCCCAGAAAGTTATCCAAACTTTAGACATTAGTTTACAGTCCATTTAAAAAATACATGCCAACTTTTACACACTTAGCCTTCTTAGATAGATCTGGAAGGAATCTAACAGATATCTTATTTCACATCCTTCATTGTATTGGTGAGGCAGCTGAGAAGGATCAAATGACTTACCTCTGGGCCCAGACAGGTAACTTCATTTCCTGTACATTCTACTCATTGTAGCTCATTACTTTCTTGATGCATTTTGTAACTTGAAAGGGAGGGATTGTACTAGGTTATTTTAAGGACCTTCTAATTTAATACTGATTTGTTGAGCACCTACTATATGCCAGACACTGTGCTAGATGCTGGGGGTGAATGGCAGGGACTGCGGGAGATTGCAAAGAGGAAAAAGATGTCGTACTTTTCTTCAAAGAAGCTGGTAATCTTCTCTTTTAAACTCTGATATCCTAGGACTACTACTATTTGCATCACTAACTTACCTCTTTCTTGTGTCTCTTCCACTTCATCCACAGGTAATGCACAGATAAAGCAAGCAGGATTAGAGAGATAGCTTGTCCTAAAATACATATGAGATACACAAGACTCGCAATTACATCCATATTAATAAAATTGCACCATAGTTTGTCCATAGGGTAAGGTAGACAGTGAGATGGAGAAGGTTCAACTTTTAGATAAAGCATTTCTTCAGGAAATATCTCCCATCCAACCTTAGCCCAGGTAGTTCCATCACAAATGCAGGAATTTTCCTTCAATAAGCAGGCACACAACAGAAGAAACATCAGGGGTAGTTCTTGAATGGACATCTTTCTCAATTGGGACAAAAAAAAAAATCTATGGCCAACACTCTGGTCAGAAACAGAGCAGGGATGCCCCGAGTACTAGTTAATAAGAACACGGAAGGTAGTCTTTCTACTTGGGAAAATAAACACTGCTGATCATTGTGACATCATCAGTCAGTGATTCATGGACAGAGTCAGTGACGTCATAACCACATTGGAACTAAAAGGTGTTACTTAGCCAGTCACCTGGGATACTTTTTCTTGCCTTATACTAGAATTATTTAAGCTACTTCAATTCTATGAAAAATGAAGACTTTACTAATGTCTTGCTAGCTAATTAATTAAAACTATAATCATATTAATGGAGTTTCATGGAAACAATTTACCTATATCCCTTCCAACCCTTCTCAAGTATGGCTGTTTTATATCTGCTTTAAAAATATCTGTAGCTATGCCATTTTACACAACCTACAATCACTTTGGTTTTTCGCTCGGAAATATTCTTCCTTTCAAATTAAGCAAAAAAAGTACCTACACCTTTTAACCTATGCCCATTAGGTAGTGGGTGAGGAGTGGGGAATTTGGCATGGCAGAAAGCTTAGCTGAATTAGAAGTGAATGTGGACATTTAGCTGAAGGGATTTCGAAGCCAAGTGTTGAAGACAGGACCTGGTTTCTTTCTGTTGCTCCTAGTAAAATGTGAGAGGAGTAAGATAAATTGAGGAAAGAACCTGCTATGGAAAGGAAAACAGGACTTGATGTTTTGGGAACTTCTCAGCCTAGAGGGATCGCAAAACTGCTAACACGAGGAGATTCCCTGTCAGGAAGGTGTCCTCTGGAGGGAAAGCCAGGGGTGTGGCCACCTCATGTTTTGCTGGTGCTGAGAGCTCAGGCTTATGGGTCCCCGCAGCCCTCTCAGCAGAAGTCAGGCCAGAAAGGAGAGGAGGACCCCTGGCGTAGCCTCTAGTCCAGGGGTGGGCAAACTTTTTGACTCGAGGGCCACAATGGGTTCTTAAACTGGACCGGAGGGCCGGAACAAAAGCTTGGATGGAGTGTTTGTGTGAACTAATATAAATTCAAAGTAAACATCATTACATAAAAGGGTACGGTTTGTTTTTTTTTTAGTTTTATTCATTTCAAACGGCCGGATCCGGCCCGCGGGCCGTAGTTTGCCCACGGCTGCTCTAGTCTAATGGAATGACTCTGTGACATGCAGGGAGACTCAAGGTTTTTGTGGATGTTATACCAGCAGACACACTACCAGTTTGGACAAAGGGACGAAGAAAGAACAAAATGGAAAAAGGCTGCCAGACCCCCCAAAGTCTACACACTGGAACTTACCGATGAAACTATTCAGCTGCAAAAGCGTGCTACGGCCATGGAGAGGGAAGGATGGCTCTGCCGGAGCTGCGGGGCCGAGGGGGGACCCTTGGTCTGTAGAGGGTTATTCCCAGGCCTTGATGCATAAGAGTTTGCCACGTGGGATTTTGAAATTACTAGGGACGAGTGACTCCTTTTTTTCTTCTATTTTCTCCTGTTTCGAATGGCAGTGTCTACAACTGTTACTCGGCGCCTGTCCCATCCCTGTATTTGGGGAGTACAGAACTTGTTTTCTAGTTTCATGGGTCTCCAGATGGAGAGGAATTCTACCCCAGGGAGGAAGGGTCATACTGAAGTCTCACCCAGGTCTAGATCAGTGGTTCTCAACCTTCCTAATGCCGCGACCCTTTAATACAGTTCCTCATGTTGTGGTGACCCCCAATTTCATTGTTATAAATTGAACATAATTAAAGCATAGTGATTAATCACAAAAACAATATGTAACTATATAGGTGTTTTCCGATGGTCTTAGGTGACCCCTGTGAAAATGTCGTTCCACCCCCAAAGAGGTCTCGACCCACAGGTTGAGAACCACTGGTCTAGATGATTTAGACGATGAGATTTGAGACTTGTGAGCCGATGATATTTTCAATGAACATTAGGACATTAATTGATGCTGTAATGGGTTGAGACTTTTGGATGCGGGGATGGGGTAAATGTAATTTGCATGTGGGAAAGCTGTGAATTTTAGAAGGCCCCAAATGCTATGCCGGTTGAGTTGTTATCTTTCTTGAAATTCAATAAAAACAAACACAAAAAAATCTCCTCCACACAGTCCCTTTCAGGCTCTGGGTATGTAACAGTCCATTACCAACAGCTGAGCACATGTTTTGGTCTTTGTCTTATTTGTGTACATCTTATTGCCTATTCTTTCAGCTGCAAGGCTGGCTCTGAAAAGATACATCCTAAAGGTCTCTGCCACTCTTGCAGAATCAGAAAAGGGACCAGGGAGACTCTTCAAAGAAGACAAGGTACTACATTGTGATCATTGCTGGTTCTGAAGTCTGAGATTTTTCCTTATAGCTTTAATTTTATGCTAAAGCTCCAGAGGTAGGTGGTGGTCCTTACTGCTCTCTTCTTCCATTTTCCTTCCCTCCTCCCCTTCTTAATGACTGATAAGAGATGAACTAATACAAAGTAATGAAAGGCAGTGCCCGCGGCAGTCCCGGATCTGTCTCTTGCTTCAAAAGTATTTGGACAGAACAGACCCAGGGACGCCCCTTCTCGCAGCCTCCGGCCGCCCTCCTGCGTCTTATCCAGTCACCACCTTCAGAACCACCTCCGGACCAGCCAACACACCAGCTTCTTTTCTACCTTAACCCCTTATCGCTGAACAACCATGAGCTCCCAGATCCGTCAGAATTATCCCACCGAGGCAGAGGCTGAGGTCAACCGCCTGACACCACCCCCCCCTCTCCCCCCCGGACTCCAACCCCTCCATCCCTGCTTCTGCGGGCCGCCCACACCTGCCTCTCTCTGGGCGAGATGGTGGAGATGAAGCTCGAGGGCCTGAGTGTCTCTTAAAGTTGCAAACCCAGCGAGGTGGCCGCACTCTCTCCCAGGACACGCTGAGGCCTCCCCAGATGAGTGGGCAGAACTCGGGGCGCCATGGAGACCGCCCTGGTCTTGGGGAGGACCCTGATCCAGGCTTTCCTGGACCTGCAGGCCCTGGTTCTACCCGTGGAGGCCCTTAGCTCCGTGACTTCCTGCAGAGCCACTTCCGGGTGAGGAGGTGAAGCTCATCAAGAAGACGGGCCACACCTGGCTCCCTCCACAGGCCGTGGCCCAGGCTGGGCCGGGCGAGTGGCTCTAGGAAAGGCTCACCCTCCAGCACGACTAGGAGCCTGTGGAGCCCGGAGGCCCTTGAGGGGCCCCTCTGCCACCCCTGGTGTCTGGCTTTTACTTGAGCCTCTCCCTGAAACCACTGACGATTCTTTTAACCACCCTGAAGCTCTCTCCCATGCATTGGGCCAAACGAAATAATAAAGCTTTCGAGAAAAAAAAAAGTAATGAAATCATATTAAAGTGGTTCTACCCGTGGAGGCCCTTAGCTCCGTGACTTCCTGCAGAGCCACTTCCGGGTGAGGAGGTGAAGCTCATCAAGAAGAAGGGCCACACCTGGCTTCCTCCGCAGGCTGCGGCCCCCAGGCTGGGCGGTGCGAGTCGCTCTAGGAAAGGCTCACCCTCCAGCAGGACTAGGAGCCTGTGGAGCCCGGAGGCCCTTGAGGGGCCCCTCTCTCTCCCCTGGTGTCTGGCTTTTACTTGAGCCTCTCCCTGAAACCACTGACGATTCTTTTAACCACCCTGAAGCTCTCTCCCATGCATTGGACCAAACGAAATAATAAAGCTTTTGAGGAAAAAAAAAAGTAATGAAATTATATTAGTGACATAGAGATGTACTAAGTAAATATCTCACCCAACAACATGAATGAATCTTAGAACTGAGTGAAAAAAAATGTACCAAAGACTACATAGATTTTTACAAAGCTCAAAAGCCAGCAATATCAAGCTATATTTTTAGGGATGCCAACATATGGGGTAAAACTATTTTAAAAGGAAAGTAAAGGTATAAGCCTCTTGGATGTGGATGGGGGGGCGGGTGGATAAGGAGGGGCACAGAAGCAGGGTTAATAGTCCTGGTGGTGCCTGTCTGCATCTTCTATTGTTTGGAGAGGTCCACCGATACTCATTACTTTGCTTCAAACCAGATCTGCAGCATGTATTTTAGTGTATATGAACATATCCACTACATACGTTTATTAATGTGTCACAGTTCACATAATGGTATAAAAGATGCATAGCTATAAAGATAGCGTGCCATATTGGCTGCATACTGAGTGCTGCATGTGGACTAGTGTACTGCTTTGGATGCACACACACACACACACACACGATA